TTTAACAAAATTCTCAGCTATCTACTGCAATCACAGGAAGAAAAATTTCTTTTTTTCCCTTTGTCACAAATATCAGCCAAATTAGGGTTGTAGTTCACTAGTGGAGTGCTTACCTGGTTTGTGAAAGGCCCAAGTTCTATAAAAATAAATAAAAGCAATTATTAAAAGGATTAATTTTTGTCATTGGTTTTGAGAAATATTCCAATGGATGTTCAGAGAAAACATCAGGAATTTTGATCTTGAAAGCAGAAAGTACTTTATCCCAGTTAGAATTATTTTTATATTTATTACAGAATGGACACTTACAAAAATACTACATTTTATTTCTTCAGAAATACACAATTTTGTACTAAATAACCATTAGATATGGGTTATGTATATAATAAATCCATCCATCAAGACATAGTTTATGATAAGGCAGACGTGAATATAATCGATACCATCCATGACTACCATGGGGATGGAGAAGAGAACAGAGAAAGAGAGACACACAAATAACTATAGAACTGTGTGATAGTGTAATAGAGACACATAGTATAAGAAAACATAAAATACAGCAAATTTATGAAACATAGCATTAACCAATGAAGTTTTTGGAGTCATAATAAAGAGGAGCCTAATGGTGCAGTAAACAAATTTCTGTGTTCACAAACCATAATTTGTGATTAGGTCTAAATATCCAACAGGGTGTTTATATTGCATGTGTGTGTCATAGCTGTCAGTATTTAATTCATTGCCTAGGTATGATGGCTCTCTGTTATATCATTTCCATTTTGGAAGCCATTAATTGTAAAACAAAATCTCTTTATTTGTTAAAAAAATAAAACTAGATAGATTATTAATGTTTACTTTTATTTTGCTAAATAAAATCCTTTCCACATAATACTGAAAATTGGTTTGTTTTTTTATCAGTAGACTGGATGGAATGTTGACTCTGCTTGACTGAAGAAAGTAGTTGGCAGTTCATGGAACTGTAAATTGCTTTATGTGGAAGGTGATTTTGTGTTTACCTATTTATTGGGATAGATAACTAACAGGAGTTTTTATATAATAAACTACACCAATGCTTTTTTTGCTTTTCTCTGTTTCCTTGTATATTATAACTATCATAAGCTGTTTTTTATCTAAATAAAACTAATTATTAAGATAGCTAAAATTCCCAGAATAATTTTCTGCAAATAATGAATGCAAAATTAAACCTTTATTATTCTGAGATTAGAAATTCATACTCATTCAACATATTTTATATTATACTCTTATGAAACAATAAATCACAGATAAAC